CCCGAGGCCGCCCGCCTGAGGCGTCAACCACGTGGCCTGCCCTGTCTCTGTCGCTCCCCCCGCGAGAGGGCTCGTTAACACTAAAGCCTCTCAGCATTTAATTCTAATTAGGCATCTTCCGCCTCGCCGAAGAAGATGCGAGCATCCCATCGCGCGCGAGCAAGAGGGCCTGTTGGCGGAGACGCTCCCCGGCGCTCACTGGACGCGGCCCTGGTCAGGCCGCCTTCGATCTGCTGCGCACAGCCCCTCCAAAGCATTCTGCTGCGAATGGGTCCGAGGAGAAAAACCCTCTCCCCCCCCCACACACATCACCTGCTTCTCCACTCAGTCCAGGAGCGGGCCATAACCCTCAAAATCCCGAGGCTTGGTTAGGGTTAAGTTTGGCTTGGCTGCCGGGCTAGAAGACTCTGTGTTCTAATCCTGCCTCAGGCACGAAAGCTCTCGGAAGAAGGCAAGGGCAAACCACCGAACCGAAAATGCAGGTTCCCTCCCACCGCTGCCTGCTCCCTGTAGACAGGCCCGGGTGTCGATTGGCTTAGCACCTGGGGGTGAATACAGCCACTGTGTTTTGTGAAGTGGGGTTTAAAAGGCTGTATTAACCAATCACTAGGAGGACGGAAGAGGAACTGCGGCCACAGCTGATCTGACACTGTTGCTTGACTGTAGGGAAAGTTTCCTGCAGGTGGGCGAGGGGCCCTCAGCCCTTCTCAGGGATGAAACAAACGCGGGGGGGGGGGGCTGGGAAGGGGGGGGGGGGGGGGGGGCTTGGCAGTGGGGGAGCGAGAGAGAGATTGGGTGTGTCTGTCTGCGTGTATTTGTGTGTTCAACTGCAAAATTTCACCCCCACTACCTTGGGTCAGGAAAAAATTATGCTTTAGCATCTTGAAACCAGTGGGAAGGAAGATTTCTTTAAAAAAAAGTGTGTGGGGGAGAGTTACAAGTGATCTTTCTTCCCTGGCTGCTACGAGCCCAGCAGATTCCATTAAAATGGAGGGAATAAAATTGGTTTTCCCAGCATTAATTATTCTCCCTCACTAATATTTTTAATGGCATCCGATGGCAGGTGTCATTTGCAGCGAGCACGAACTTTGCACCTCGAGGGCTGCCGGGAGAGGAGCACAGTGACAGGCCACAAAAGGGGCAGGGAGTCACGTCCTGGGGGGGCTGACCCTTTGTGGGATGAAGCCCCGTAGCCTGTTGCCTTCTGGGGTACGTGTGCGAGATAATCACGCCTGAGCTTCAGAGGGGACCCCTCCCATAGGCATCAGGGCCGGCGGCGGCACCTTCTCCATGCGAAGGCCAGTGAGGGAGCCACACGGCAGTCCTCCGGGGTTGGAGGGGCGCGCCCTTTCTTCAGCCAGTGCTTGAGACGTGAAGGGATGAGAGTCACCCATGCCTCCCTGCTCGGAAGTCTCCGGGGCAGGGAGGAGGCAAAGCGTTTCCCTCGCCGCCAGCCTGGTTGGGGGCTTTAAGCTTCTCCCTGAATACCCGAGGCAGATCCCCCGTTCTCAAAGGTCCCTGCGGATCTTGCTTGGATGGGATCTTGCTTGCTTGGAGAGTTGTCTGGCAGCCAGATTGAAGGCGGTGTGTGACCAGCCGCATCTCCTGCTGACCTCCAGGAAGTCTTGGAATGGCTGTTTCAAAGCCCGCTTTCCCCTTTCCTTGTTCCCGGCAGTTGGCCCCCTTCCCTTCGGAGGCTCCCTTAACTTTAGGGGGGTTTCAAAATGCGGCAGCCTGTCCTCGCTTAAAACCCCACCATGGATTTCAAGTCCCCTTGGGTCAGGGCAGAAATCCAACGGCTCTCACATCCTGCTAAGGCAGTTGGGCCCACCTTGACCCAGGATCCGCCTTCCTGCAGCTTCTTCCTCTCCCTGAAATTCCTTTTGGGGTGCCCAGCTCCCTCGGCCTCTGTTTGTGGGGCTTCATTTCCAGTTGCCTGGTCGTCTCAACCGGGACAGGTTCTCGGAATCCTTCTTGAAGTCCCAAACAGAACAAAGTACTGGAAGCTTGTCTAAAACAGAAGCGATCCTGCCCAGTTTTATCTACCATTATCACCAGGGAGGCTACACGATTTGGAAGCCGAGCAAAAGCAACAGAAAGCATAATCCGGAAGGTGAAGGCCTCAGGGCCTGCTCTGGGAGACAGGGAGGAGCTCTCGAGGAGGACACGCAGCGCAGGCAATGTCCTGGTTGCAGGAACGGAAGACAATTTGTTCAAATGGGGGAGTGAGAGTCAGCTTATCTCACTCAACTTCAAAGGCAGCTCCTTCAGTAAAGGTGACTACGTACAAATGAAACAGACCTTAAAGTCCAGAATCAGGACCCTGCCCCTTCAAAAGGAGCCACAGCAGAGTATCTCCGGAGCAGTAATTCTCTTCCTGCAAGAAAACATAATGGGTCCATCCACGTCGGCCCACCCTGCTTCCCCAGGAGCAAAGAAACAGATCCAAGGGACTGATTCCACAGCTGGCTCCCACTGCACCTCAAACAGCTGTGCTTCAGCAGCCATCGCAGGTCATGAATCGCGTAGTGGAAAACGCAGAAGAAAGGACCACAATATTCAGGAGAAATAACCAACCGTTTATTCCACAATCAGTGCTGTTGGTGGGCCAGTCAGATTCCCTTTATAGACGGGACTGCTGGCCTGAGGTGAGGAGGGAGGACGTGAGTTGATTGACATCAGCCCCCATGTGACGACATGCATGGAGGGTGGCCGCCTACTTGCAGTGGGACCCGCAGGGCTGAGCTCCAGTTTGGGAGACCAGAGAAAGAGGTTGCCCAGGGACTCCACGTGGCATGGACAAATGCCCAAGGGTTATCGGGGCCAGTTGCCTCACCGGGTTCTCTCCCCCTCCAACACAGATAAAAATAATAAAAACAAAACCAGCCAAGCTAATAAAAGCGTTTCCCAACCCTAGCAAATGCAGCAATTAGGCCATTAAGTGCTGCAATCTGGTTTTGTGCCCTGGGATGTGAAGCAGGGAGGAGGTGCTTTGTCACCGGCACTTGAGCGCACCATACATCGAGGTTGCTTGCACAAAATGACACAAAATGACCCAAAATGACCACAAAGGAGACAATCACAAGATGCGTCATGAATATGACTCGTCTATCCCTTATTTGGGAAGTTTTAGATCCCGGCTGTGAAACTTGTGTCCACGGAGGCTGCTGAACTGAAGGCGCAGCACAACGGCCTCCTCCGGGAGGGAGCTGCCGAGAGCTGCAGCCCAGGACAGGAGCCTCCCTGGGGGCTTAGCTGCCAACCCAGGCAGAGCACCAGCAACCCAAACCAGCCCCTCCTGCTCTAGAGACCCGCCACCGCTAGTCCAACTGGGCAGGTCTACACTGGAAGATCTTATCCGTGCCAAAGGCCCGGCCCGCTTGGAAAAGCAGAGCATCGCCATCTAGCGGTCCCACCCGCATCTGTCAATCTAGCCGGTGGTGCCGTGCCAAGAATGGGAAAGGGCTGAGATGGTCAGTTTCAGTCCAGGCAAAAAGGGGCTTTCCCTCTTGAGCTGGGCCTTTGAAATGCAGCGGCAGAGCTGGCAGGCCTGCGGGGGGCCGGGGGGGGGGGCAGAGATGCCTCTATCCCAGACTGGTCAATCATGGGGTGCCCACTTCCTCGGTCGGGCAATGGAGCTCCTAAGCCCAGGAGACGGAGGGGTTCTCTTCTTCTCACCACTCCTTTTCTTTTCAAAAACTGCAGAGGCTGGCATCTGAACCCAGGAACATCAGCTCGTAAAACGGACATGCTGTCACTGAGTCCCGAGGCTCCGTAAGAATACCTTTCCCCCGAGATGCTCCTATGGAAGGCAAATCCTTTCAGATAAATACGCTGCCTGCCATTTTTTTCCTAATTTTTTTTACCTACTGGTTTCCTAAGGCTGCCTAGCCATCAAGCAAGGCTGGTGTCCAACCGTGCCAGCTAAGGACTTTGCTGGACATCTACATCTACAACATCAAAAAGCCATCGCTTTGGCCGCTAAAGTGATGGGTGAAAACAATCGTGGCAGTTAAAATGGACATACTTCCAAAAACCAAATTTCTGTTTCAGTTTATACCTATAAGAAGGGATGATGAGCAACTGTCTGCTTGGCAAACAGACTTATCTGGGATACTAGGAAACCAGAAAGAAAATTTTAACCTTCTTCAAGGTTGTTTGAGTTGGATTGGGGAACAAATAAAGGTCTTCATGGTGAAGTAGCTTCTATGGAAGGATGTAGCCATTGAAATACGTTGATATTATGGATTGAAACAATTAGAAGAGATTAAAAAACAACAGAACATACAACATTATTATAAACAATTTAATAAAAATATGGGAAAAGTACAAGAACAGATTTAATCCTGGATTGTCACAATTGGCTGTATCAGTTTCAATTTGTAGAGTAAGGGTAATCAGTGGGAGCTTCATAATTCTTATGGATTTCGTGGTCAGTAAAATCAGGATAAAATCACTAGTTTCAGTATTCATGCATCAGGCTGAATCTGACATCAGCATGATAGCACTTAATGAAATGCTGAATCATAGAGGATATTCAAAAGTCTTATTTTCAGTATTATTAATTATTAATTTGAATTTATTAGCTGCCCATCTCCAATGGACTGTTAATAGAATCTTAATAGAATAGTGTTAATAGAATTCAGAAGGTTATAATAGTCCAAGTGTTTATTAGAACGTATTTATAAATTACTGATAAAATTTGATTCTGAAGCTGAACAAGTTAAACGTTGCGTGATTAAATGAATGCATAATATGGATTCAGGTATTGCTATGCAACAATGGGAATTTCAATAGCAAACTAGTATCTACTGCAAATATCATGCTTAGAGAAATTTGGTATCAATATCTTTTCATTGGTATATTATCCCAGTTATATGTTAAAATGGATCCCAATTATTCAAAAAGTATTGGAAACATGATAAGGAATTAGGAACTTTTTAGCACTTGTGGTGCCAGGCTGAAAAAGGTCAACAATTTTGGAAAGTAGTATATCTAAAGATGCAACACAATGATCTTGCATTTTACTTGCCGCCAGTAATTTTCTTGCTAAATTTCACAAAATTTACTGAATTAACACTATGTATGTTTTCAGCGGTGACAACTGAATATGCGAAATACTGAAAACTTCCAAAAAACCAACGTTCTCCCAAAGATTGGCAGCTGACATTGTGGAATCCACGCAGCTGATGCAAAAGCTTCAATTGGTTCAATAGTGTTTGACAACCACTTATCGACTTTCACACACAGAAAAACTTTCTCCCAACCTCAGATTAGGGCCTCACTTAGTTGTCTTTTTATTCACATCTTTTTTGGGTTGCAGTTTGTCACACACTCTCAGTTACTTGGCTGCATTTCTGATTTCCATTATGAAATGTATGTTGAAAAGCAAATAAGATGGTGTAAATTTGAAGGTGGTTGTGAGAGAAAAGATGGTTAATTTAAAAACAAAATTGGCATTTATCCCCCTTTGATAATGGCCCACCGGTGCTCTGCCTTGGGATATTTTCAGTCGGCCGTGGCGCAGCTCTGGAGCCTGTGAAAAGTAGCGTAGAAGGTGGGCTTCTGGACTTGCGCAGCAGGGACTCGAGTCATTACAAACAACTGGCTGTACTTGCAAGACTTCCAGGCAGACTCCAGCCCCAGAATCATCTTCCAGCAACAGTGGGCTTCGTGAGGACATCTCCTTTCTCCATGGCAAAGCATTATAATTTGGGCTGATTACTTTTGTTGTTGGTGGTTATGGCAACGTGAGCATCCCAGGCCCACATTGTCAGGCTTGGGTGCCTTTGTCAGCCTCCTCAGTGCTCACCACTTCCATGCCCTGGAAGTTATCATGATGTTCCTCAGGCACCTAAGCAAAGCCAAAAGGAGAGGACTGAGAAAGGGGTCCCCTCATTCTCTCTGCCACCAACTCTCTCTCCAGGTTATGGTGCATCCCAAAGGAAGTGTTGCCATAACCAGAACTAGGAACTTTGGCCCTCCAGAAGTCATTTAGCTGACCCTTCTAGCCCATTGCAACATTGACCTAATGTGGCTCACAGCCTTGGCAGGACCACACCTTCCCCATCCAGCCATCACGGCACGTCCACTGTTTTTTCCCCTTCTCTCCTGTAACATGAATTGTGGGTCTGTGTTTGTACAATACAGCAAACCCTAAATCTAGGTTAACAAAATAATAGCTTCGTTCACATAGCACAGCACATTAAACAAACGTATTCTGATTCTGTTCATGCAATGAGCTCAGATTATGGCTGAGTTCCCAGAACACAATCAACATTTTTCCAGTCTCATTTTAACTTCATCTGGCATGTTGTGTGAACTGAGCCCATGTGTTTCATTATAGGGTAGTGTGGTGCTGGTTAAGCCGCTTGAGCTGGGACGGGGGAAACCCAGATTCAAGTCTTCACTCAGCCGTGGAGTTACTGCGCTACTATGGGATGGTCACGCTCTCTCAGCACCAGCTACTTCACAAGATTGTGGTTGAGATTAAAATGACAGGAGCCCCCCCTCCCCTTCCACTCTGAGGTCCCAGAGGAAAGGCCGGTTATAAAACAAGTCAGTCGGACAGTCAATCAATCATCCTCTGGTCTCAGGGGAATCCATGGGTGGCATTTGATGCAGGTTAAGCAGCAGCCAACTTCTACCCCGAAGAGGCCTTCAGATACCTCCCAGTAGATCTGATCCTCAAAGCAGAGAGCGTCAGGGGGAGACCCAAGGCATCTCATCCTCAGGATGGCCCCTAAGAAAGAGAAACCAGCAGTGAGGAGCAGGGGAAACTCGGCGCGGCAGCCTTTCCTGGGTTTCCCACTTCGAAGGGTCAGATGCCACGTCCCCAACTTTGCCGGTTCAACCCTAACCCTAACCCCAACTCTGGCCCTGCCTTCCCCGGGGAGGGCACAAGCATCTTCTGGGGCCAGACCCCCAGGAAGAGCCCAGGTTGGGTGCAGATCCTCCCCAGACCCTCTGCCCCCTTCTTTGGAATTGGGGAACTCCCCTCCCCTCTCCTCAGATCTGCCCCTGCTGAGTTTGAGCAGCATCAGCAGAGCCGCACAGGGCAAACCCCTCGCAGGGAGACCTTCCTGCCCTCTGAGACCCGGCTCTTTGGCAGCCCCAGCCACGGATCACTCGGATGTCGCAGGTCCGTGGCTACCCAGTTCAGCTCCCTGCCGGAACGTTTCGGCCACTTGCTCTGGTTCAGAGAAGAGGAGGGGGCGGCCTTCAGCCAAACGCTGCCTTCCCTGCCTCGGACTGGGCTGGCCTCTAGTGGCCAGGCACTGCGGGGGCTCCTGCAATCTCTGCTGCAGCTGGAGCGCCAACCTGCCTTTTCCGTGGCAGGGGAGAAAAGATCCCGCCCTTTCTGTGAGGGCATGAATGCCCCTGGGTTCCTCTGCACGGCAGGCAGAGGGTCTGTGTTTCACCCCTCCCCTCCCCTCCCTCAGCAGTCACCAAACACTCCCTTCTCCTCAGGGTTTGAAGCAAGTCCTTCTCAGAATCATTTGAGCAGCCTGATCGTAGCTCTGCTTGCACAGAGCCCGTACATATGGCTAACCCAATCGTGGTTTGCTCGGTTAATCCAACCTGCAACCCGTAGGCTGTATACGTACCCCTTTTTGTACGCTCAACGCCTTCTTTGTTCATTCTGTGGAATTTTAATGGGATAATGGTGGAAATTGGCTTGTCCCAAGAAAAAGATCAGGAGTATCCCCGGGGGGTGTGTGTGTCAAAAAAGTCGAGATGGCGGCTGTGACCGCATGACTGAAGCCCTGCCTCCTTTTTATATGCACGTGAGATGATTGCAACGTTGCTGCACGTGCAAAGAGGGAGAAAACGTGTGCCTGTAAATTATGTATTTTACCCCTACAAATGATGCAGAGTTCTTTTCCCCAAATGCGGCCACCTTTGAAATTTCACAGGATCCCAGAATCACAGAGCCAGTCCCTGAAGCATCCTGGACAGCTGGATGCTCGTCCCCAGGGGACAGGCTCGTATGGTCAGGAAGGTTTCTCCCCACTAGAAAAACCCAGAATCTCCCTCCTGCACCTTCAGCCCATTCTGAAGGGGCTGTTTGGCAGGGATGGGAGGGACCGAAAGAAAGGGTCTGTGGCTTTGTAAACCGCACTTTGAGGTCAGTGGATATGCCACTGAGCATCAGATGGAAGAGGAACATGGGATATGGGGTAGGTGGGAGAGGGAAGAGCAGGCCCTTCCAGAGGTGCAAGTCCAGGGCCTGCGTTTCACTCCCTTCTGAGGCTGCACAAGGCTCCCAAGCGGAAAAACATCCCTGTAAGAACCAGTGTGAGTTAGTGGAAAGAACTGCAGGAGTGACTTTTCTGCCCCCACTCACCCACGAGGCTTCCACCAATCGTGGCCATTCCCAGCGAGACCAGCAGCCCCAGCAGCTGGAAGAGGCTCTGGTAGACTGACGTCCGCTGCCCAGAGGCCACAAGGGGGAAGACTTCGGCCATCCTGCATGAGCACAGACAGGTCCCGGTGAGCCAGAGCACGTCGGGTGTGCTCCAACTGCCCTTGGCAACGCTCCTTTTGGGAGCAGCCCCCATTTCACACTCTGCCAAGCACTGTGGGCAGAGAGCTGGGGGGGGGGGGGGAGGGGAACCTTCCCTCCCCGGGGTTAACTAACCCTCCCCATAGACATCTGGCGTTGCCATGGCTGCCACCAGAGCGCCAAGGAGGGCGCCAAGGACGCCAGGCATCCCGTGCAGGTTGTGTATCCCGCAGGTGTCCTGGATCTTCAGCTTGGCAGCCAGGATGGGCTAGGCAAGAGAAAGAAAGAGGCCCCTGCGCTTTCGGGCAGGAGGAAGGAAGCCCTGGGCCCAGACCGAGAATGGGCCTTCTGCAGAGGGGACCCTCCGTCTGCCCGGCATCAGGGCCCAGCCCACCTCCCCTTCTCGGCTCTGCTGCTGAATCCCCATGCTTTGCACAACAGGCTTCTTGTAGCACAGAATTCTGCGCGGAAGACCCAAAGTCTGCCCGTGCATTGCTGGACACGTACTGTGAGGAATCGGAAGCCAAGGGTTGCCACCAGGCCAGCTAGGCACCCGGCGATCAGGGCCCCAAAGGGAGTGAGCATCATCTCTGCTGAAGTGCCAACGATCACCCCGCCGGCCAGGGCTGCATTCTGGATATGAACCTGGGGGTGGATGGTAGAAGTTGGTGGGGGGTTAGAAGAAAGTGACCCAGGAATTGGTGGGGGTGGGGGGCGAGAAATGAATGAATTCCAATTTGATACAACATCCATTTATCTTAAAATTCAATTCAATTCATTAAATGGTAAAATATAAAATAATAAATTAAACAACA